AAAAAAGGAGGGTTAAGAAAACACATGTCCCCCCCAGAAAAAAGAGAAAAGAAATCTCTGCCCTGCACATTTGGAGTTAGCAACCCAACGACCCCCAACTCTGCCCCGATGGCCAGCTTTGCCTAAGATGGCAAGCCCCGCAAAGCAGAGATCAAAATTAAAACGAAGCAGGTCTGCTCAGTGGGGAATGGCTGGAAAAATTCATAATCCTAACCCTTTCCTAATTCATAACCCAAACCCTTTCCTTCTCCGGCAATACTTACTCCCCCAGACTGGAAGGGTGGCTTCTGCCCAACAGCTGGGGGCAAGGGAGTGATGGGTGCAGGCTGGTGGTAGACGGTCACCGTCGCCCCGTTGAAGGTGGGGCTGGACCCAGTGGCTGCTTTGACAACGCCGTTGGTGATGATCTCTTTGATTCGGTTGACGGCTCCTGTCAGTGAAAAACCAACAGAGTCAAGCAGTTTCGCTTCAGACCGAATTCTTTACTATAAAAACAAAGACTTTGATGTACGCTCTTCCCTCCTGTTTTTATTTCATTTTCAAGGGGGCGTTTCATTTTGACGAAAAAGTCAATGAATCGTAACGTTTGTAACGTTAGCATCTGAAGCTGCGATTAATATGGATAGAATATACACTTTTTCTTGCTCTGATCTATATATTCGATACTCCAAGGTATCTACAGAATAGAATATTAAGAATCTAAGTACGTTATATAAATATTGTCATATTGAAATAACGTACTGTATCAAAACTGAGAAAATGGAGCAACAGATGGCCTATTTGGCTAGATTTAATAATATCTTAAAGAACTGAGTGAGTTCTCTATTAACACTGTATGGATGTATTTTTAGTTCCTTCAAATGTCACTCATTTAATCACCATTCTGTACCTTCTCTTCTGATTTTATTACCACCGTTACGTTTTTCGTTGTACCTCTTCCTATCTTTTAGCTGTTATTTCACAATATCTTTTAAAAACTGAAATAAACACAGGCAGCCAAATGCTAGCCTTCGACTGTGGATATGAATTCAATTTTGTGCTCCGCCCCTCTGATGAATCAAAATCGCACGTTCTGATTCCTGCCCAAGGAATCTAAACAGAATCGACTTACGGTCCACCAATTCTCTCGTCTGTCCTTGGACGTGCAAGTACAGCGGACGATCCCTGGAAGAAAAAAAAATGGAATGTGCCTTTCAGTTTTTAAAAAAAACCTGAAACCAAGACGAACACTTGAGACATTAACCTCACCGGTTTAAAAAAAAAAAAAAAAAAGGAAAGAATTTTGGATGGAAACTCAGGATGGCAATCCCACGATCAGCTTTTCGGATATAGCAATTCTTCTCTGAAACCCGTTTGGAAATTAAGCAGAGAGTAAAAGATGAATACGCACCCAGGGCCGACTTTTATTTTTTCTTCCGCGGTCATGTACCTCCCTCGAGTGGAAACGGCCGCCCCGCTCAGCTTACTTATCTGCAGACGTGAGGAGGGGGAGAAAGAGGGAGAGAGAAATGATGATTAAGCCATATTAAGAAAAGCTCAGCTGAAGCCCCAAACTCCAGTTCATGGTGAAGTCCTCTTTCCCACAGACGCCAGGGAGGCGTTTCTAGCAAACCCCAAAATTGTAGCTGTCTTCCAAGATTTCACCAAATGAGCTACAACTTTCAATGTTGATTCTCACGATGCTTCTTAGGAAGATAAGTGGGAATCCCTAGGAAACTTCCCCATCAAAATGAAAAATAGTAATACTACCTAATCCAGTGTTTCTCAACCTTCGCAGGCTGAAGATGTGTGGACTTCAACTCCCAGAATTCTAAATGCTGGCTGGGGAATTCTGGGAGTTGAAGTCCACACATCTTCAAGCGGCCCAGGTTGAGAAATGCTGGTCTAGTCTATCGTAACATGGGAAAAAGGATAAGAAAGTCTTCAGTGCAGATGCAGAAGTGAAAGGGGAGCAACTGGAGCTCTGTCTTACAGCTTCCAGCCCATCTGGCCAATGCTGATGGATGATGGGAGCTGTAGTTCAACAACACCTCAGTTGCCCCACGGTGGCTTTAACGCAGGAAAACAGGAAGACAATAATAATCCTTTATTCAACTTGTAGGTTGCCCAACTCTCCATGGCTCTGGACAGCTGACAACATTCAAACAAGAAAAATTACAATAAAATCAATACAAGATAATGATCGAAGATGACTAAGGACTCAACCACTGGAAAGTTAGGGACAGCGGAGGGAAACAAGGCACAATTTCTTCCACTGCTAGGGTTATTTTGCCTAACATGCAGGCCTACCGACAGTTTAACAGTAGCTGGAAGAACGGTTCCTATGAAACCGCAACGTGTGTTTAGAAAAAATAAAAGCCGTTAAGCCACTCCAGGGGCCAAATGAAATGAGGCGCCAGACCTCATCCTGCGTCTGTCCTCTTGTTAGGAGATTCCGGCACGTGAGCGGCACGTCGTTTATTTCCACTTCAGCCACCACAAGGTCGTCTTTGCTTTTGTTCGTGGCCGGACCTTTCCCCGGAGCCTGAAGCTGCCAAAGATCAGAAGGGAGGAGGATAAAAAACAAAAAAAAGTGAAAATCACACAGCTGGAGCCCAGCCGGCCAATCCGATGTTCTTTTTCTGCTCGGCACAAGGGGACAGAAGACGCTCCTCCTTTGGGGAGGACAAAAGTGAAGGCAAGCAGAGCGGTTTTCGTTTTTTTCGAGCCCTGATTTTGGAGTTGGCCAAAGTATCCTACGTGTGCTCAGTGTCAAAAATTGCTCTGGCATTGCCAGTATCTAGATTTGATGTTTCACCTAAGGATGGATGGATGGATGGATGGATGGATGGAAGGAAGGAAGGAAGGAAGGAAGGAAGGAAGGAAGGAAGGAAGGAAAGAAAGAAAGAAAGAAAG